CGCACGCTACCACGCCCGGCTGATTTTTTGATTTATTGTAGAGATGAGGTCTTGCTGCCCAGGCAGGTCTCGAACCCGCGGGCAGATGCTGTTCTTAACATTGTTTTATAGAGGAGAAACCCAGCCTAGACACATTGGGTAGCTTACCCCAGACTACACAGCTAGTGATGGGAGAGCTAGGGTTCAGGCACACACAGTCTGACTTGAGAGCCACTCTCCTCTCTTAGAAGTATAACATCTCTCTCCTGTCCTGTCTGTCCCCATCACAGCTGCCTGCTTCAAGTCCTTATCTGTGATTATTGTCAAAGTCTCCTAACTGACCTCTGCGTCAGAGTCAGGATGCAAACCCCGGTCTGTAGGACCTGGCAGTACCGTTTTCCTTGGTTTAACCCCCTTCTTATTCATCTTTGTATCCAGAATTTAGCACAGTGCCTAGCACAAGACAGGAGGAAACGGAGTAAGTTGTCCTTGTTAATGGTCCTCCAGTCAGTACTGCTTTTCTTTTTTGCTAATGATTTGTTTCCTTTTGGGGGTAAATCCTTTGTTGGAGGAAGATAGAAATGGTTTGGCTGCATTTAGTCCAGTGTCTTCTTGCTGCTGGTGCTTGGCGCACTTAGAGGTGCCAGTTGAATGGCACGGGTGCTCGCTGGCTGGGTAGAGTGGGAGGAGCAGATCCCATTTGTAATCTTCAGAACCACTCTGGTTGAAGGGACAAGTACCGGTACTTCGCGTGTTTGATGCGGGCCCGCTTTGAAGAACACAGGAATGAGAAGGACATGATGAAGGCCACCCAGCTGCTGCGGGAGGCAGAGGAGGAGTTCTGGTACCGCCAGCATCCGCAGCCGTACATCTTCCCCGACTCCCCGGGGGGCACCTCCTACGAGAGATACGAGTGCTACAAGGTGGGTGAGACGTGCCCAGACCGCCACCTCGCCAGCCGCTCACCAGCTCTGAGGGGCGGCTGGATTTCTGTCCTGACGGTTGCCAGATAGAGGCACCTTGCATTTTATCGCACTTGGCCTGCACTGTTTTTATAGAGTGAAGGTCTGAGGCAACCTTGCGTCGACCAAGTCTGATGGTACCATTTTTCCAACAGCAGGTGCTCACTTCATGTCTCTGTGTCACATTTTGGCAGCCCTTGCAATATTTCAAAGCTTTTTGTTATTCTGTCTTAGGATTGTTTTGGGACACCACAGATGCGCCCATATGAGACGGCGAACTTCATGGATAAGTGTCGTGTGTCTTCTGACTCTTCCAGTGGGTGGACGTTCCTCCATCTCTCTCCCTCAGCCCAGGGCCCCCTATTCCCTGAGACACAGCAATACTGGCATGAGGCCAGTCCCAGCAGCCCTACAGTGGCCTCAAAGTGTAGCAGTGAAGGGAAGAGTCACATGTTTCTCACTTTAAGTCGGTCTCACATCTAGAAATGATCAAGCTTAGTCCTAGGCATGTTGAAAGCTGAGATAGGCAGGAAATCGGGCCTCTCCCACCAAACAGCTAACCAAGTTGCAAATGCAAAGGAAAAGTTTTTAAGGAAATTGAAAGTGCCACTCCAGCTAACACATAAACAATTAGATGTGAAACAGCCTTATTGCTGGTGTGGAAAAAGCCTGAGTGGCCTGGATAGAAAATCAAACCAGTCATGACATTCCCTTAAGCCAAAGCCTAACCCAGAGCCAGGGCCTAACACTCTCCAGTTCTAAGAAGGATGAGAGAGGTGAAATTTCAGAAGAAAAGTTGGAAGCTGGCAGAGGTTGGTTCATGAGGTTTAAGGAAAGCGGCATCTCTATAACATGAAAGTGCAGTTGAAGCTGCAAGTGCTGACAGAGAAGCTGCAGTAGGTTCCCCAGAAGGTCTAGGTGGCTGCGCTGAACAACACACTTTCTGTGGAGATGAAGCAGCCCTTTATTGGAAGAAGATGCCCTCTGGGACTTCCATGGCTAGTGAGGAGAAATCAGTGCCTGGCTTCAAAGGGCAGGCTGACTCTTGCTAGGGGCCCGTGCAGCTGGGGACTTTAAGTGAAGCCAGTGCTCATCTACTGTTGCAAAAATCCTAGGGTCCTTCAGAATGATGCTAAAACTACTCTTCCTGTGGTCTAGAAATGGAGCAACAAAGCCTGCCTGACAGCACATCCTTTGACAGCATGGTTTACTGAATATTTTAAGCCCACTATGGAGACCTGTTGCTCAGAAAAAGATTCCTTTCAAAATTTCACTGCTCGTTGACAGTGTACCTGGTCACCCAAGAGCTTCAATAGAGATGTAGAAGGAGACTGATGTTGTTTTCATGCCTGCTAACACAGCGTCCAGTCTGCAGCCTGTGTTTCAAGGGGTGAACTTGACCTTCAGGTATCAAATTATTTAAGAAACACATTTTGTAAAGCTGTAGTGCCACAGATGGTAATTCCTCTGATGGATCTGGACAAAGTCCTTCTGGAAGGGATTCACCACTCTAGATGCCATGGATAGCATCCGTGACTCGTGGAAGGTCATCTCATTACCCGCATCAGCAGGTCCAGCCAGAGGTGCTTTAGCCCTGAAGTCTCCCCACCTTTAGGCCCTGTGCATCCTCTGCTGCTCTGTGCGCAGGTCGAAGCAGCCTGCAGTCGCAGTGGGTGTGAAAATGCATCTCGCTCTTGGTCTTCTGTCTCCTCAGCAGGCCCTGTCAGGGGCATGAGTGTATCCTGGGGCATGATGCATGCTTTCCTCTCCTGGCAGGCTCCGGAGTGGTGCTTGGATGACTGGCACCCGTCTGAGAAGGCGATGTATCCTGACTACTTTGCCAAGAGAGAGCAGTGGAAGAAGCTGCGGAGAGAGAGCTGGGAGCGCGAGGTGCGTGTCCTTGCTCTTCACATCTGAGCAGCTGTGTGATCTGCTCCCTGTGTGCAGAGATCCAGACGTGGGGCACGCCGGTCCCTCTGGCTCCTGCTCCTCAGCTTCACTCTGGTTTCTGAGAAGAGGCTCAGAAGAAGAGGCTCAGTCCTTCCAGCTGTCGCATCTTGGCCTTGACTTGCCCTCTCCTTTAACCTCTGCCTGACCATCTTGTCTTTGTGCTGTCCTCTCCTGCCCCTCACCTTTGCAGTCATGTTATGGTCAGAGTTCCATTTTTATTTTTATTTTTTGAGTTGGAGTCTCACTCTGTCGCCTAGACTGGAGTGCAGTGGCCGCTCCCGGCCACCGCAGCCTCCACCTGCTGGGCTCCGGCGATCCTTCCGCCTCAGCCTTCCAAGTAGCTGGAACTATAGGCGCTCGCTACCACGCCCGGCTAATTTTTTGATTTATTGTAGAGATGAGGTCTCGCCAAGTTGCCCAGGCGGGTCTCGAACCCGCGGGCTCAGGCAATCCACTCACCTCAGCCTCCCAAGGCGTGGGATGAGAGGCTGAGCCCCCGAGCCCAGCTCAGAGTTCCATCTTTCAGAGCCAGTCTTGCTGCGTGTGCAGGAGACATCAGAGAAGGCGAGAGGAGGAAAGACAGCAGGGGGCATTCCTGCAGTGGTTTAGTCAGGAGGTCGTGCCAGCCAGCACTGGGGTGGCTGTATGGACGTGGCAGGAATCAGAGCCAAAGGTCTTTGGAGGGAGGGGAAGGCGGAGCTGATGTGGGCACGGGGAGGGGCGGGGCGGGGTCAGGAATGGGCTCCAGGTTTTCAGCTGTAGCATCTGGAGTTGGGCGGGGATGTTTATTGGGGCAGGAAGCCTGGGAAGCGGGCACAGGTGTCAGCGGGACTGTCAAGCATTTGTTTTGGAAACGCGGCGTTTGCGAATCCTCTGAGACATCAAGTTGCAGTAAGCCATTTTGGATGTCGGAATCTGGGACTCCAGGGGAGATTTGCCCAAGAAACAGGAACTTGGGCGATTTCAGGTATTTTAAAAGCCACGGAGAGGCGGGTGGAATCCCTAGGAGAGAGTGGAGAGAAGGAAGAGAGGAGGGAGAATTCTTTCTCCATTGGAATTGACAAAAGACACATTCCTCACTTTGGTCAGCAGTTCCGAGGGTGCAGTCTTCTGTGATGGCGTCTGCTCCTTTAGTGACCGAGAGGAAGAGCCCAGCCGGGGTGCGGCGTCCTGGGACATGTGGATGGGGCGTCGCGGGAGGCCTCAGCCCTCGCGAGGGAGGGGGCGGGTTCGTGGAGCCCTGTGTGCTCGGAGGGATCCGTGTGCCGTCACTCTCGTGTGTTCTCGTGCTGTCTCTCAGCAGTCCTAACCTGGGGCGGGCCCGGAGGGTGATGGTTTGGTTTGCCTTTGTCCAGGGAGGGTGACCAGGGACTGGAGGTTATTTGGAAGGAAGCAGTGGTCATGGTGGAGGAAACAAAGCAGAGAGAGAGGAGGCTGATGCAGAGGGGCGGGCCAGGTCTGGGGGGCAGCCTGTGATTCGGTCTCCCTGAGTGTCAAGGGGGACTTGAGCACGTGAGCTGGGGGTGGAGGGGGGTGAAACACTGGAATTCAGGAGTTTGGAAGTTGTGCTGGTCTCCAGGATATTGACCTTTGGAAGTCTTTAGCCAAGGTGGAGTGCGGGTCACTGTGGCCGGGGTCGGTCAGTCTTGTGTCAGCAACATCTCAGCATTTAGAAGCTTGAAGTCTGTTTGCTCAGGAGAGTGGCGGGCTCACTCTGCAGCTGATCGTGTGACAGCCCGTCCCGTGCGCACGCCTCCTTCCTGGGTCGCTTCGCCGTCACTAACCGGCACTCGTTTTGGAGGCACAGGCAGGCCCGGTCTGGAGGGAGTTTCAGCCACCGGGTCTCCTCCGTTAGGACGTTCGTCCTGGGGGTTACGGAAGCTGGGGGGGGTTGGGCAGCCTCGGGCAGAAGGGAGCCAGGTCCCTTGCCCGGTGCTGTGTGGTGGGGCTTTACGATGCACGCCCTCCGGTGTCACGAACTGGGGCTTCTTGGTGGCGAACACTTCTTAGTTGGAGAACACTTAGCTGAGACACAAAAATGAATGCTTTTTGGGGACAGGCACAGGGGCAGTTGGAATGGTAATTGTCATATTTTCGTGTGAAGAGTAAGAGGAGGGGTGGGGTAGCGGGCTTTGCTCCCAGCCTGGCCGTTTAAGAGAATGGAAACCTTTGAGGCAGAAAAGCTTTGCTGGGCAAATGTGAGGGCATGAAAACACACAGGCGTATTAAAAAGCAGTTTTTGGTGCTGAGGTCAGAAGGTGTATAACGTGACATCCCACAGAAATGAAACGGACACTCGGCTGCAGCCGCCAGGGTGTCACAGGCAGTGAGACCCTGTGCTAACTGTCCCTTCCATGCCTCCTCCCAGGTGAAGCAGCTGGAGGAGGAAACCCCCCCTGGCGGGCCTACGACAGAAGCTTTGCCTCCGGCCCGCAAGGCCGGTGATCTGCCCCCACTGTGGTGGCACATTGTGACCAGACCCCGAGAGCGGCCCATGTAGAGGGAGGCTTCACCCCTCATGCTTGCAAGTGAAATAAGTCACAGGACCGACACACACTTGCCCTAATAAAGGAAAGGAAATGTTCTGGCGTGACTGACTGGCGTGTTTCTTGCCGTGATGCCAAGTGGCTGTGCCACTGTCCCTCTAACTGGTTGTGCGTGTAAAGAAAGCGTGACGTGTAGTAGGATGTGTTCTTTTCTGCGGTAGCTCACGGATAGCACACGTTAGCAGCAAGGGAACGCGAGCAGAACCAGACCCAGCTGTGCTTGGGACTGGGGCGAGCAGACTGTCTGAGGGCCTCATTAGCTGCGGTCCCTGGAAGGACACCCGGAGCCAGGATGCCCTTTTTGGCTTTCTGAAGGTTCCACTAATGGAATTTTCATTTTCAGTTTTAATGGCCTTTTAGTTTTTAGTAAAAGGACAACTCTCCCTAAGATGCACAGAGTCCCACATGAGCATGAGCACGGAGCTTATGAAGTCCTCTCGGGGGGAGACTTGCTGGGTGGGGCGGAGGGGCAGTCGGCCGAGCCTGGATACCACACTGTGGTTGAGGCCGTCTTTCAGCCCAGCTTCCTCCTCCTCCTCTCTGGAGCATCTGCAGACTTCAGGGAGGAGGAAAGGGGAGAGCAGAGCTCTTCGTGGGCTTCAAGACTTTTAATTTTTTTTTTGAGTTGGGGTCTCACTCTGCCACCCGTGCTGGAGGTCAGTGGCACGCTCACAGCCACCCCGGCGTCAACCTGCGGGGCTCCAGTGATCCTTCTGCCTCAGCCTTCCAAGTAGCCAGAACTACAGGCACGTGCTGCCACGACCGGCTAATTTTTTGATTTCTTGTAGAGACGAGGTCTTGCCAAGTTGCCCAGCTGGTGCAGAACTTGCGGGCTTAGGCAACCCACTTGCCTTGGCCTCCCAAAGTTCTGGGATGACAGGCTGAGCCACCGAGCCCAGCCAAGATTTTTAATTTTTAAAGGTAAAGCAAGTTTTAAGACCATCAGCTAAGAACTGCTGCTCTTAATTCTTGGTAACTTGTTAGAACTGTTTTCAAATAGGTCAGGGCTAGGTGTGGTGGCTCATGCCCATAATCCCAGCACTTTGGGAGGCTGAGGAAGGAGGATCACTGGAGCCCCAAGAGTTTAAGACCAGCCTGGGCCACATAGCGAGACCTCATCGCTACAAAAAAATTTTTTAAATAAGTTGGGTGTGGTGGCACGCACCCGAAGTACCACCAGCTGTTTGGGAGGAACTAGGCTCAATTTGCGTCTCAGCCCACCTAACATTTGACTAAGACCTCGCACTGAATTTTTAACAAGACTTGAAATGCAGGCTTTTTTTTTTCCCTCTAGTGGTTCTTTATTTATAACATAGGCTGAAGCGGTTGTTACAATGTAGAAGGGAGACACAATTACACAATTGTTATTTATACAAGTTTAGAACAAAAACTGCACAGGGAGAGGTCAACTCTCAGTACAAACTAGCAACTGAAGCACAATAATTTACCTTTAGAAACAAGTTCTTTATTTTTAGCTGTGACGCTGCTTTTACAATATGCAAAAACACAAGCAGAACTACCCAGGTGTGTGGTCACATTCTTTCTACGTTGAATTTGGCAACATTTTATATTTATTCAGATTATACTAACGTTTAAAAACTAAACAAGTGAAAAGCTGTACCAGGGTACAGTCACATCCATCTACCTCAAAGGTTTAAAATACCACTGCATCTATCATGATGGCCTGCAGCGGTCTCTGCTTCTGCAAAAACCGCCAAGCGTCCTATGCACAGCGCGTCAGCCATGGGCGTCATTGGGACGGGCGGGCCGACCACAGGCACTGCCGTTGCTGCTCTTCTGCAAAGGAGCTTGTTTTCCAAAGAAAAAGGCTTGCGCAGTGTCAGATAATCACGCCTTTGCTTTAAAGCCGGAACATCAATGTCCTTGAGCAACCACCGCAGTGTTAAGTGACAGTCTGCAGCACAGTGGCTGTACAGGTAGGTGATGCCCTGTACAGGTAGGTGACGCGGTCATGCATCAACGCATGAGGCTGGACTCCTCGGTGGGGTCAGCGCCAACAGAAACCTGCAGGGCGCGTGGGGCCCGCCAGACTCCTCCCTTGAGAGGCGTGGTCACATGCGTGCCCCGCCCACCGGCCCCACTGCTCAGGGGCTTTCTTGCTTTTTCAGACACCTGACTTCTCCCAGGGTCCTCCCTCTAAGTCTACGAGTCTGTTGGCTTGAGGAGATGGGTATTGTAACAAATTCAACTTCCACTTAAAAAAGACAAATCCATTCCAGAAAAACATCACCCAGGATACAAAAAGGACAGATTCCCAGTGGCAATAAACAAGCCCTCCTCTCTCCAGTGCTTGGGATGAAGTCCGTTAACTGCCATGTACTTAAAGGAAGATAAGAAAAACAAGCCCCCAGACTGGTGAACACACTGGCGATTTGCTAGACTGCAAGCTGGTTACCCTTGTCAAATCCGCTCGAGTTTTTCCAAAATATTTGGGCTTTTCAGTGCACCCAGCCTGCTGGGTACAGTTAAGTAAAAGGCATTTGCTCTATCTAAGAATTCCCTGCTATCGTTTTAAAATGCTTTCACGTGTTTCAGACTGCCTTACCCTTAAGGATGGATTTGGATTCGAGGAACGTGAGTACAGTCGGCGAGAAACTCAAGTGGGGGTCCTAGTCTACCCAGGCGGCAGCATGCACGGGACTGGGGAGTGCTGTGGGCGGTCGAGGGGGGAGCAAGTCCTCACACACCTACGGAAACAAACACTGCAATCCAGTATGGCTTGTCGGATGCATTTACCATGAAGCTACTAGAAAGTCAACCTACGAGGCTACTCGTGAATGGAGCGGGGTCGGCCATGCTGCCGGGAGCCCCCCACAGACCTCCCCCATCCCCGCGAGTCCACCGCTTCTCGATCGACTTCTCGGTGTCGCCTGTCAACTGGTCCTGCTGTTTTCATCCAGAACATAGTCTCAGCGAGGGTTTCGCCTCTTATCCATTTTGTCTGTACATTAAAACAACTTGAATTTGCTTCTAAGATAGCCGACTACACCGCATCTACAAAAGCTTGTGGAAAAAAAGGGAGTGAACTATAGTAAATCCTCTTCTAAAATGAACTACTCCGTGGCCCCTACCCCAACCCCCCCCTTATGCATTTAAAATTTTACAAAGACTTGTAAAAAAGTTAAATGGAATTTGGCACCTTCAGAAAAATCAAAAGGGAAACTAAGATTAAAATGTGCAGAAAGAAAGTCGTCACTATTTACAAATGAAAAGGTCAAGGTTAGGTCAGTTACATCTGCTGCTTTTAATTCTTATCTAAAGGTGTGGGGACTTTCAAAAGAGCTGTATTCGGAGTTGCCTACAAAACCTGGTGTTGGATTCTAGGTTGGCTGGAATGGACCGAGACCCATCAGGCTGTGCTGACAGTGGATTCCCGGCGACGGCGCCGTGGGCCTAGGAGAGGCGAGGCGCGGAGCGGTCGTTGGTCGTGGTCTTCTTCAGCTTCACGCCTCTTCGGATGGCGTTCAGCATGTCTTCGCCCTGGGCACCATCTCTCGGGCTCAGATCCACAGGCTCCCTCTCAGGAATCCCGCCCGGGGAGACGGCGGCACTCGGGAGCTCCCTCTCCTGGTCTTCGGCCTGGCTCTCTGGAATCGCCCTTCTGGGCTCCTCGGGGATGCTGGGCTTGGGGCCTGGAAGCGGAGGGTTGACGGAAGCCTGGCCGCTCCACAGGGAGGAGATGGAGAGGGGCATGCTGGCGACACCCGGGGGGCCCTCGCCCGCAGGCGGCGACTCGGGGCCGTGCTCCCCCCGCTCCTCCGGCCCATCCGGGGGTGCTGGCAACACCCCTGGGAGGCCCGGGACGGTCGGGGTCTTGACGGGGATCACGGGCGTCTTGATGGGGATGGGGCCGGCTCCGATGGTGCCTCGGCGGACAGAAGGCTTGGTGGAAGGGGTCCGTCGGATGGTGGCGACCCCGGGGGTGACCATGGCGGGCCCCAGGTTGGTAGGGAGGCCCGCGGTGGAGGCTGGGCGCTTGGCCTGGAACATGCGCCGGTAGGACTGGCTGATGTCGCTGTTCCGCGGGATGGTGGAGGATTTGTCAAACTCCTGCTGCTCTGCCTCCTGATCACCGCTCACGGAGAAGTAATCGTAATCTGAAACTGAGCAGAGGGCTCGGTCAGACATCCCTGCGACAGCAGCTCTGCCTTCCGACTCTCCTGCACCGGGAAGAGGAAGGCGCGCCCCACGGGAGCACGGTCTCATCCCTGCCTCCCGGGTTTCTCCTCAGCTGCCCACGTGCCTGGTGCACTGAGGACAGTGCTGGGCACGGCCAGCCCGAGCGTCAGGACCCTGACCCTGACCCTGGTCTCTGCCCACAAGATGCCAGGCACGCCCCTCTGGCTGTGACAACCAAACGTTCCCCCAGGGAGCCACATCCCCCTCTGCTGACAGTCCCCATCTTAGAGGCTTTGACTGTGGCAATGAAAATAGCTTTCAGTCAGCCGTCCCTGGTATTCCGGCTGCCTGGCTCACCCGAGCAGTGGGGAGAGGCTGAGGGAGGCAAGTCTGATACTTTTTTGGAGACAGGGTCTTGCTCTGCCCCAGCCTGACGTGCAGCACTGAGGTCATGGCTCACTGCAGCCTCGGCTTCCTGGGCCCAAGCGATCCTCCGGCCTTAGTCTCCCACGTAGTTGGGATTACCAAGTGCGCGCCATCTCACTCCGCTAATTGTTTATTTTGATGTGGAGAGACAGCGTCTCACTGGGCGGCCCCGGCTGGCTGGAACCCCTGGCCTCACGTGATCCTCCTGCCTCGGCCTCCCCAAGTGCTGGGATTGCCGACGTGCGCCAGCGCGGTGGCCTGATGGGGGCTTTGGCTGGGCCAGGTTAAGAGCTGGGGCGCAAGACCGTCGCACGGTCAGGCACGGACTCCAGCTCTTCTGCTTCCTGCCTGTGTGGCCGTGAGCGAGCTACTGCTCCGGTTCGCACATCTGCAAGACGAGGATGAAAATCCTTATCCCGTAAATGGTTGCAAAGATTAAATGGAAGAATAAACGCACGGCGCTTGGTGGGCTGAAATGCAGCTGTGGCTGAGAGCATGTGTCTCAGGCCAAGACCGCCCGAATGCAGACAGTCAGCACGGAGCAGCCACAGGGCCACGTTCCCTCCGCAGCGCGTCCAGGTGGCGAAGCTGGCCCTGACGCTGTCTGCCGCAGGGTTGAGGCCCGGCTTTCCGCCCCCGCCCCACACGCCTCAAGGCCTCCCGCCAGCCCAGGCCGCCCGTACCCTGGGAGGGGATGGTGTCCTCTGAGCAGCACGGGGTGGTGGTCTGAGTGCTGTAGCCGCTGGAGCACTGCAGGGAGTCCCGGCTGCTCCTCTGGGTGTCGAGCTGGAGGCCCCGGGCCAGGGCCAGGGCCAGCTCCTCGCAGGCCTCCGCCTCCTCGCCGGGCTGCAGGTCAGAGGAGAGAGACAAGGCGCTGGCGTGAGCCCCGTCCCGCGGCAGCAGGGCCCATCCGCAGCCGCTGGCGACGGCCGGCCGGGGCGCTCCATCCTGCTCCTGTGAGCGCCGCATCTGCGGCCCAGGGGATGGGTGGCCGGGC